TCCATGGTACATTCAATACTCTTCTCCAGCAACACAGCTCAAAGGCATCAATTCTCCTTCTATCCTCCCTAGTCATTTTCCAACTCTCTGATGCATAACAAGTGATTGCAAAAACCATGGCCTGTATCTAGATATATATCTAGATGTATATATCTAGATAACATTTTTTTATCTAAGAAACTTATATGAAGTTTGGTAATTCCATAAACCTATTTGCAAAATAGTTCTTCAGAATTATCTGTTGCTGTTGAGATGATTCCAGTACATCAGACAGAACATAACTGCCCTGGAGAATTTTTTTTTTTTAAACAGACCACCCTTTCATTCTAATGATGAGTGGTTGGTGGATGGATTTGTTTAGCCATGCACTCAGGAGAATCTTCACTTACCCTTAAATGTGGAGAGAGTTTTCTTACACACTTTTAGTGAACACTTCATCTTGGCTCAATCTCACAGAAATGCTCTGCTTTCATATTTTCATCTTCAGCAAGTTTATACATCCTTCAAGGAAACTTATCATAATGGCTGAGACACCTCACTGAAGCACTGGTGTGTGAGTTCAAATCTCATCACCACAAGCTTACTAGTAGTATAATCTTGAATGTGTCCTGTACCTCCTGTGTAAGCAATAATCCGCTCCCTTTTGGATTATTAAGACAGTTAATGGGTTAAAATTTATAAAGAGAAGATACTAAAAGTCTTAGGGAACTATATGTATAAGTACTTTGAGTATTTCTACTACTTCAAATTCTACCTTCTCTGTAAAACTTTTCTCAATCCTCCTTACCCCAACAGAAGGTCCTAATTTCTCATGAAACTCGACTGTCACTCTTACATTTAACATATTCTCATATATTTATTTCTTGTCTCTGCATGGCTTATATAGCTCTCGCTAGTCTATTGTTGCTGATAGGTGTCATCAAGTTGATTTAGATTCCTAAAAAAAACCTATGGGAGAGAACCGCCTAGCAGGGTTTTCTAGGCTGAAATCTGGAACTGATGTCAAGTTGTTCTCTTGTGGAGCTGCTGGATGGATTTGAGCCACTATCATTTTGTTAGCCAGGTAGTCAACCGGTACACAACTCCACTGTGTAGTTACTGTCAGCCATCAAGTCGACTGTGACTCGTAGCAGCCTCGTGTTCAACAGACTGGAATTCTGCCTGATCCTGAGCTATCCTCACAGCCTCTGTCGTGCCTAATTAAGCTCATGCTGCAGTCCCTGTGTCGACCCAACTCCCTGAGGGACTTCTTCTGTTTTGCTGACCCTCTTTACGAAACATGGTGTTTTCTGTCACCATTCTCACCTCTAGGGAGCATTCTGGCTCTACTTCTTCCAAGACAGATGTGAGGCTTTTTAGGAAGTCCATAACATATTCTTCACCAACACCACAAATCAAAAGGATGTGAGTTCTTCTTTAGTCTTCACTGCCTAACTTCCACATGCATGCAAGGCAACTGAAAACAGCAATGTGTTGTCAGGTGCTCCACTTGAGAGTATTTATCACCATTTTACTCCTGTCATCATCAATACTGAATTGCTATTAGTTGCCATTGTGGACTCTGTGGTGACCTTTCATATAGGAATATGAAACTTTTAGCCTGATTATACTTGTATGTGTATACACTTGGAAAAAAAAAGGAGAAAAGTTGGACAATCTCCTCTCATGCAATTTACAGCTTCAGAAATTTAATGGAAGGTTCAGCTACAAGCCATTTCTAACTCAACATCAATGAGTGAGTGAGTTGCTCTTCTTTTTATTTTTTTTTTTAGTGAGCTGTTCTTATGTGCTGTTGCATAGACTACAACAAACAGCAACACTGTGAGAATGCATTATGCCATCTTCACCATCTCTGCTGTACTGGAGCCCATTACTACAGTAACTCTGTCAATCCATTTCACTGAGGGTCTTCCCGGTCCTTTATCTTTCCAAACATTATGTCCTTTTCCAAGGACTGGCCCCTCTTAACAATATGCCCAAAGTAGGTGAGATGAAGCTTCACTATCTGTGTTTCTAAGGATCATCCTGATTGATTATTCTACAATATATATCTATTTATTCTTTTGGCAGTTGTTGGATCTCTGATTACTCTTCTCCAATATCATAGCTCAAAGGTATAGCTTCATTTTCTATAATATTTAGTCACTATCCAACTTTCAGATGCACAGTACATAATATCATCTGACCTAACTATTCCATGACTGAAAATATAAAACAAAAAAATTAGAACTGTGACACATATATGCATATCCATGTCTATCACAGCATTATTCATAATAGCTCCCTTTATGTTCATTAAGATACCAAAAATTCATGTGACTCATTTTGTTACAGTATTCACTTTATTGCAGTAGTCTGAAATCAAATTCATAGTAGTTGTTGTTGTGTATTATAGAGTTGAAACTGACCCATAGTTGACCCCCAGCAGGGAGACAGAACAGTAAATCCACTGAGAGGAAATTGTCCATCCTTCTCTCTCAAGCAGCTGGTGGATTCGAGCCACATGCCTTCGTAATTGCAGTGCAGCTTCTTGCCACCAGAGCTCCCTAGCTTTGTGCTTCTGTGTGTGTGTTTGTGTATGCAAAGAAACCTAAAGAACATACAGGGTTCACCAAGTAGTCTAGAAAAAAACGGACCCAATCCTAATGGAAAGGACCCCCATTTTTGCTTGGCTGCTAATCCAAAGATTGCCAGTGGCTTAGTGGTAAGGAAAATCCTCTGGAGGGTCAGCTATGGGTCAGTTCTGACTCAATGGTACAAATAACAAGAACAACAACAACAATTTGAAAAGTTTAACAATCGACTTTTGAGAAATTTGCCACTAGAAACCCTATGAAACACAGTAGGGATGGCAACAAGTCAGAGATAAATCAACAATCTCTGGCTTATTGTTAAGTGTTTTATTCTCATGAAAAGGAGAAAATAGGATTAATAAAATCATTCTCTATTAGGATTTGTCGATCAATATGCTATTTCTTCACAGGTTATGGCCAAACTACTTCTACCACAATTTCCAAAATAGCATCAATGTTACTGTGGTGGAGCAGCCTGATGTAAAGGGACAATTCAATCCTCTAAGACTCCTGCACTTGGTACAGGCTTTATTATAGTTGACCAGAAACCACTCTTAAGTCTACTCCTTATGTTGTTTGTTGATAATTGCCTTCAAGTCGAGCACGACTCATAGCGACCCTACGAACAAAAGGCCTCAAGGCCCTCTTCAATTATAGACATTTATCAAAGTTCATATAGTTTCCTGAGGCATGCTGTTTAGAAAGTGGATGCCACTCCTGCTTCCAAACCTGTGACAAAATGTTGCTGGTTGAGTCACCTGCGATGCATAGCAACCCTATGTACGGCAGCTCTCAACCTTTCCCTGTCCTGAGACAATCTCACTAATTCTGACACACCAACCTTCATAGGCCCAGTTACTATAACAATCCATCTCATCCAGGGTCTCCGTCTTTTGTGCTGTCCGTCCACCCTTCTGAGCATGATGTCCTTCTCCAAGGACCGATCTCTCCTGACCACATGCCCAGAGTAAGTGAGGTGGAGCTTCAAATTCCTATCCTCCAAAGAAAAATTTGGTTTCATCTTCTCCAAGATGTAATTCATATTCTTGAAAGTCTTCAAATTCTTCACCAATGAATACATTGTGATGAATATTATTTTTCTTAGGAAAGGGAAGCTAGCTTTGGGTAGTGGCAGTTGTTGGGTACTATCAAGGTGGAATCAACCCATAATTGACCACAAAGCGGGTTTTCAGAGGCAGTAAATGGCACGGGAGTTGACTGTCCATCTTCTTACTGTGGAGCAGCTGGTGGATTCAAATCACGTACCTTTGCGTTGGCGTCGTGATTCCTTACTTTTTTTTTTTTAAAATATGGAACGCTTCACGAATTTGCGTGTCATCCTTGCGCAGGGGCCATGCTAATCTTCTCTGTATCGTTCCAATTTTAGTATATGTGCTGCCGAAGCGAGCACGTGATTCCTTACTTCTAAGCCACCAGTGCTCTCTAGCTTCAGGGCTGTTGTTGTTGTGTGCTGCTGACAACTGACCCATCATTGACCCTCCAGCTGGTTTTCAGAGGCAGTTAATCACATGTGAGGAGGCTGCCGATCCCTCTCCTGCAGTGCGATCTTGGGATTACAGTGCAGCTTTTACCATTAGGCCATGAGGGTAGGTAGGGGAGCAGAACATGAAGAAACAGAACTACCGACTGTTGATTTCTTTCCATAAACTAGCTAGTGAGAGTACAGTGTGTTGCAAAATACACAAGATTTTATATCAATTACAACAGTCATACACTAAAAGAACAAATAGGATTTGATCACAAAAATATTAGAAAAAACAGCCTTGATAGTCTTTTATCATTTTTTTTTAAATGTAATGCAGGTGATGCATATTATTTTTATTTCCATTGACTCTTTGATGGGAGAAATATTACTTACTTTCCATCCCAGACATGGTCACCCCTGTGGAAAATCACCAGGTTGTTCTCACCATCCAGAGCAACCCCAGAAACTTGACCTGGTAGTAAGTAAATTCCAGGCCAATCCAGTGCCTCTTCAATATGGAAATCTAAAAGATAAAATACGCATCTAGTTTAGAAAAGAAAACCTAGTATATGTGACTTTATGAAGATTCACAGTGGTTATGAGCAGCATGCAGTTAACATCACTAGATGCAAAGATATTTTTAAAAAAGTAAGCAGTGCTATAAATAAAATATCACATGCACATGCCAAGTAGCTTTATGAAATTAGTGACTATGAATTTGTACTGGGACTTGTAAATATTCTTTCATTTATGGCACGCCTCTAAAACTAGCTTAACCTTAAACCATTGAAAAATATATATTGTGACCATATTCTTGATGCTCCTAATTTAAAATTAATATAAATTTCATAATTCTAATATAAACTTTAGATAATATCCATTAAGGCATCCCATAGATTATTAAATGTTGTTAATAAATAGTAATGTCAGTGAAAGAAAGGAAGACTCTTACAGAGATGGACTGATGCAGTGGCTACACCGATAGGCTGGAGCATGGTAGAAATTGTGATTGTGATGAAGGCCAGGGCAAGGGTCTGATCTTATGTGCATAGGCTTGTTATCAGTTCTGGCTGACTCAATGGCATCTAACAGCAACAGTAACAATAGCTGATATGCTTACCAATTTAATAAGCCTTCCTCCATCCTTCCATATTTACCTACTTAATCATTGTTCTTACGTAAATTCTAGATGTTCAATGTACACTTGACATTCATTGATAATCATTTTTACAAAAACCCTGAATTTTGGAGCAATCTCATTTCTTCTAACTTCAGTGTTCATAGAAGCATGGAAGGAGGAAGATACCTTCTTTTACTGTTTGTTTTACTTTTTTATTATCATGAAAGAAAGGAATAAAAAGAGGTCACAGAAGACGTGACTAAGTGACGAGTTTCAAATGATTCTCATTTTGGATCTGAAATAAAAAAGAAGCCTCAGAGAGTATCTGGGTTCATTTGTACTAATCCCTTTAGAAAAATATGCTCAGCAATAAGGAGGTATGATGATTCACATCACCAAGTTTAAATAAAGGAAGAGCTGATTATCTATGACGTTTCTATGCCAATTTAAGCTACTAGTTAATTGTAAATGCAACCCTACTGTACCAGTTGCAATATTTCTTTCTTCTCAAAAACTTCAGAAGAGATGCTTAAAAGTATAAAAAGAGTAACTTGAGTCTCATTTCACCTTCTCATTCTCTAGAGTATGAAACAACACACAGTGAAATCCTCAAAGATAAAAGACAGAAGGAGAAGGCAGCACAGGGTTTGTTTCAGCTCTGAAAAATGGAGAGTGTGCCCTGTGAGAATATGCATTTCAAAATAACTCTCCCAGTGAAAAAAAAGGAAAAATAACCTTTTCACTCAAAATGTTTTCACCTTCAAGCAGTGAATTTTTTTCTTTAATGAATTCTAACAAGACATAGCATCAATAGGATGCCTCTATCAGTGCTGCCTTTAGCCTTTGCTGACACATCTTCAAGAAACATTCCCAGAACGTGTTCTCTGTATACAAACCACTATGCAAGAGTCTGAGAACACAAAGAAATAAACCTTGGTGTTAAGTCTGATAAATTAACGTATAGGAAAGCGAGGAAAATAAAGGAAACAAATACTTAGGATGCAAAGTTGTATAAATGGTGCAGGAACAACACAAAAGCCCTTTTTCTTTCCTGAGGTTTTGTTGGGCAAGGCTGAGGAAGGCCAGATTGTGGGAGGTTGCCTAGAGGAACAGACATTTATATTTACAGAGATTAAATAGCTCATCAAGCATTGAAGTAGGAGAATACTTCTGTCAAAACAAACAAAAGCAAGGATGTTTCTAATTACAGAATGTGTTTTAAGGTCTTTACGTAGCCTAGAAATGAAACCTGTATATGTCAGATAGGAATAGGTTAGGAGGAGTAATGAACAACTGATCTTGAGATCCAATTTAGAGCTAAACTAGAAAATACACTGTAAACACATGAAGGAGTCTGGATCAGGCTGTGAATACAGATCTTATCTCAGCTGCAGTGTCGTGACCTATGTTATGATTAATCATGAGGTATGCTGAAAGTACTTTATTAGTCACAAGAAAGTAGAGAAGTTAGGAAATAATTTACTTTTGAAATACATGACAACATCTGAGAATGTCATTCCCACGTACATGTATTCTGATATGCCTTCTAGAACTGGCAAGAAGTGGGTAGAGGGCAGCCGGAATGCCTGAATTTTCAAATAATTCTGTATGCAGCAATGGATATGAATGGACCTGCTCAAATGAACAGCTTCCATCATCTATCACACTTGTCATAATAGAGAAAGGTTGCAAAATCACTGCTACAGGCAATTGGGAACTACAGAAGGTTTTAAAACATGGGTAGCCTGGTTACAACTGTTTTTGAAAGTTAGACCTGAAAATATGGTGTAAGTGTTATAATTATGGATGTCTAGATCAACCAGCAGATGGATAAATCATGTCTAAAAAAGTTTTATATTATTCCAAAGCTGTGTGAATCCCTGGCTGAGCATCCAGTTGCAGTCTGTTACATTCTGCCAGTACTCATTCGTCAATCTCAAAAGTTTTGGAATAGGCTCCAAGGGAACTTCAAACCTCATGAGAATGCAGGCATTTAATTGTTTTCAACAGATTCTCAAAGATGGTGGTTCTCAAACCAACACAACCAGGTCAATTCTTTGTGGGCAAGGGATCATGTCTGTTTAATTGGTGGGTCACCAGGACTTGCATAGAGACAGTAATGTACTAAATTCCTCACTGTAATGGTCTAAATAATGTGCTAAAACTGACCTGCATGTTTCAGAATCTTTTTTAATGTTGTCAATTCTGAGTGAAATACTCTTATGGTTTCTTTTTATTGCCTCCATTAGCCCTTGCTAAGGCTTCAAATGGTTCATTATGGTTTGAACTCATGACGAAAATGTACATTTTCACTGGAGATACACAGAAACAAAACCTACAGTTTAACAAGATTCTCAAGCAATTCTTGTCGGAAATGATTCATATGTATTTAGAAATTTTCTTAAATGTAGATTGTGATTCAGTATATCTCTGGTGGATACGCACATTGTCATTGGGTGGTTTAACCAGAATTAAGCTATTGGAAGCCCTGGCACGAGCACAGTGCTGGAGACACTGACCATAATTAGTAAAAATGATGATTGGTTAATTTCTATCTTCAAAATACAATAAACAGATATACTTATGTCATCCTTTTAGTCAGCAGTCCATTACCAAGATCTGGGCACTATGAAATTGTACAAATTAGAAGTCTAGAAGAAAACACTGCATGTCAGAAAAATAGATACAGTTCTGTAGTCAAATAGAATCTCACGAAACATTGGAAATTTTATGCAAAGAACTTTAATCTGATGTTAAATGATCCTAACTATCATATGCCCATAGACAAGTTCTTCAAAGCCTGCAAAACCGAATGACTTAATTTTTTTTAAAAAATCTTATATGCAAGGGATTATCCACTAATCATAAAAACACTAGCTTTGCCACACATATGAGTCATTTTGGATGGAAATTTTCAGGAAAGAAAATAATATCCATAACATACATTCTTCATGATTTATGAACATAAGCGTGACATATAAGAAAGCATAGGCAGAAGGCCAACAGTGGGTAACATGGCTCTGTTATTGCTGAGTCAACGTGAAAGAGAACTGCTTTATATGTGGCAAGATATTTGGAAAAAATATAGGAAATTGTGTTTTGTGTAATTTAAAAATATAATAACATATTTATTGTTGTTGTTATGTGCCGTCGAGTTGCTTGTGACTCATATTAACCCTATTATTAACTCTGCTCAATCCTGTGCCAACCTTAATGTCTCTGACACACCTACCTCCATTACCCAGTCACTGCATCAACTCATCTCATCAAGGGTCCTCCTCTCTTGCACTGTCCTTCCACCCTCCCAAGTATGATGCCCCTCTTCAAGAATGGTCTCTTCTTGCAAAATGTCCAAAGTATGTCAGATGAAGCTTCAGAATCTTTGCTTCCAGGGAGCAGCCTGGTCTCACTTTCTCTAGGACAAAACTGTTTGTTCTCCTGGAAGTCCATGGTATATTCAATACTCTTTTCCAGCACCAAAGTTCAAAGGCATCAATTCTCTTTTTCATCCCTAGTCATTGTGCAGCTTTCTGACACATAGCTGGTAGCTGCAAAGAGTAAGGCCTGGATCAAGTACATCTTAGTCTCCAGACAGACATCGTTGCTCTTCAGTACTTAGGAGTGGTCACTGATAGCAGACTTTCCCAATGCAATCCATCTTTTTATTTCCTGGCTGCTGGGACCAAGAGTGTTGACTATGGAGTCAAGTAAACTGAAGCTACTAACACTCTCTTCACCATCTAGCATGGTGCTGATAATCAGCCCACTGGGGAGAATCTTTGTTTTCTTGATGTTGCACTTCAATCCATTTAAGGCTGAAGTCATCTGGCCTTCTGCAGCAAGCAACTCAGGTCCTCCTCAGTTTCAGCAAGTAGAGTTGTGTCATTTGCGTAATGCAGATTGTTGATGAATCCACCTCAAGTCCTGATGCCACATTTCTCCTCATAGAGCCCAGTCTCCCAGATTATCTGTTCTGCATATTTATTAAGATCTCAAAACTTTCCAATTCTAAGTGTCTGTGTTATATTATGTTCTCCTTTGTAACCATTGGACTTAACAAGCTCAAACTAATTGCAATTGAGTCAGAACTAACTCAGAAATGGACCTCCATTGGACCTCCAGAAGGTTTTCCAAGGCTGGAAATTGGGAAATTTTATGGTGCGAGATTGACCATTTTTCTCCCCTGGAGCTGCTAGTGTATTCAGACCTTCAGAGAGGCTCTTCAGATTATGTTACAGAGCTCATATTATGTTACAGAGCTCCTGTCTGAAAATATTAGCTCTGATAATTGATAGTTTGCTTCCAAAGTCATCATCGTTCTCACCATTACATAGTTAAAGGTAGTTTTCTCATATTGAGGTTACAAAAGAAGGATCAAGGTAATAATTTTGGATTAAGAAAAT